TTTTTTAATACTAATCAATTTTATTCTATAGTACGTATTTAATTGATTATGAAATTAACTATTGTTTTGGAATTTGTTTTTGGTAAATTTTTTTTTTCGATGTTTTAGGGAGACATTTTTTTAGGATTTCAAACTATAACTCTGAATATTTCGAAAAATTTCAGGAATCAATATACATATTTTTCCTAAAAAAAATCCAGGGATAAATTTTATGAATTTGGAATTTGTTTTTGGTAAATATTTTTTTTGGACTTTTTAGGGAGACGTTTTTTTAGGATTTCAAACTATAATTCTCAATATTTCAGTGTATTTTTTCCTAAAGAAATTGCAGTGATAAATTTTATAAAATTAACAGTTTTGAGCAAAAATTATTTGTGATGCGATATCTACATAAAAATTTTACATTATATGTTGTTGTTAATATTTTTAAATATTTCTGAAAACAAAGTATTTGCCCGGAAAGTTTTTAATGAGTTCAGTTAAGAAAAAATTTCATAAGAATTTTTTTTTGGAAATTTTTTGGATTTATTAATATCCACGTTCTATGCTTATATTTCTTGTCGAAATACATATTTGTTTTGAAAACATTTTTATTTTAAAAATTTATTGGAAACAAATGTTTTTTATGTTTTTTTTTTTAAGTACAATTTCTGTGATTTGTTTTCGGAAATACATTTTTAAATTTTTGTTATTTGTGGGTAGATAGATATTTTATTGAGAAAACATTTGTTTTTGGGAAAACATATTTTTAGGGGATTTTTTTTATTGCATTTTTGGAATTTTTCGGAAAAGTTTTCGCGTTTTTTTTTTAATTTCAAACTATGTATAATTGTTAATATTTAAAAATATTTCTATGAAAAACCAAAATATTTTTCCAATTGAAGAAAGAAAAGAGCTTGGTATTTGAAATCATGGCAACTTAATGTTAGCCTAGTTTTCAAATGACCACAATTACTTCATTAGCACTCCATTGCACTTCGCAGAGTTCGCTACATTGAATATAAATTACTTCGAAAACACTTGCAAAATGCACGCAAATGATTCATACATATGTATATTCTACCTTCATTTATTGACCAACAAAAGCCAAAGTTTATAATGAAACAAACCATTTGGCCCAAATTGCTCGAAATAAATTGCTGCAGCCCACAATTCAGCATCTGAACAAACAAGTTACACAACAAAGCAGCCAGCAGCGGCAATAGCAGCAAACTAATGAAGCAAGAAATCAAACAGCAAACAACAACAAACCAAGCAGCCAGCCTATCAGCCAACTGCAATGTAGTCAGCACGTCTAAGCAACAGCTGTTGGCCGGCGGCCCCCCACTGCAGCTGCAACTCCTGCAACTATCTAAAAGAACCACCGCTGCGTTTCCAATCTGCATAACTTTGCCCCGCAAACTGCTCGTCTTGCACTGCTTGTTGTGAGTTGCCTTGCTCACTCGTGCTTGTCATCCGGGAGTATAAATCTCCAGCCAACCATCCAATTGCTGTTGCTGTTGTGTTAACTGTATACTTCTCCACTGGCTGCCATTCACCTCCACCAACAACAGTCGTTATACAAAACACCACCGCTCTTGTTGTGGAGAGCTATAGCTTCAACGTTGCTCCACTCCTCAAAAGTGCTATGTGGACTATACTCGTTTTCTAAAAACACAACCATACACATTTATTTACGAATATTTGTATTTATTGTGGCGCTGCCTGTTGTTGCTGCTATTTTGTTTAGGTTTCGTAGTGTAGTTGCAGTACATACCCTGTGGGAAAAATCTCTAGTTCTGAACTGGTGCGCTTCTAGTACATTTAGACCCAGTACTGGTTCGCGACAAATCTCTTTTGCATGCAAACAACTGGCGAATTTAACATGGCGATTTCCTAGGAAGTGTCAATTGTCCCTTTTTCGATAGTTTCGAACTAGTCCAAAAGACGAAAGAAAAAAATATCATGACTTTTCAATCTTTTCGGTTCTTCCGTGTGCGATTTTAAATTATTCTCAAAGAATTGTTTTTTTTTCGATTTGAAATTAAATTTGTTTGAATGATTGTAAGAAATGTACGTTTAGATACCTTTGGCTGTAGCTGACTTTGCAGAGGTGCTCGCTGTTATTGGTTAGATTCCAGACGGTTACAATATGTTAATATGTTAACACAAACTTTTATTTTGTATTACCAAACTATGAAAAAGCAACTGCGAAGTGCAGATTGAAAGTGCATTTGAACGAAAAAGCCGCCAAACAAGCACCCGCTGCATCCCTTTTTCTATAATTCCAAACCAGTTCTAAATTCGTCACCTTAGATATATATTTCTAAAGAAAAAAGTGAAATAAAAAAGTTTTTTTAAGAGTACCACATTTCGCCGATTTCGAACTGCTTGGGATCTAGTTATGTACTATCGGACTGGTTCATTTTTCGTGATAAAGATCTTGTACGGAACTAGAAATTTTATTCACTAGTCCGCGGTTTCCCTGCAGGGTAAATACTCATAGCATGTATGTATGTATTTATTTTTGTTACTCGCTCCCCTCCTCACGCTCTTAGCTGCTTGACTGCTTCAGCTTGTTGGTTGGCTGGCTCGCAGACTGGTTGTTGGATCCGTCAGCACGGTCGCGGGTTGCGGTGGGCTTGTAGAATCATTTTTATTATTAGTTATGACCTCATCATCGATTATTTTGCGGCTGGTTCCGATTTAAGCAACACGGTCGTACGGTTGGTTGGTCGGTCGGCCCCTCAATCGGCGAGATGGGTGAGAGAAAGAGCTGCGGCGCGTAGGGAGGCCAACCATATCGGCGGCTGTCTCTCGCCTGCACCACGTTGTCGTGGGGCACTCGCTCTCTACCACAAATTGTGCTCTACCACTCAGTGCTCCTACAAAAGTATAATTATCAGGTAGCCTCCACAGCTCACTCAGTCGAATCTTGATATGCGAGCTTCATGATTTGTACTCTTGTGTCGTACTTTTTTTACCTTCGTTTTAGTTTACCCGCTTGCATTTTTTGTCGGCGACCACTGCACAAGTCTCGTTGCCTCAGTGATTGTCCCAAATGCAAGCTGTAAGCAATTATTGCTTCCGCTTGTGCTGAAATACACGCCAGTCAGCGGGGCAACATTGAGTGAGTTGGCCTGGCCAGTTGGGACTTTTATGTGGTTGTTCGCTTTGCAGCTGTAGCCTGTATTTGATATGCTTTGTAGGAAGTGAATGCCAACAAACGACCCTGTAGTGGTCGTCGCCGACAACAACGTTGTTGCGAACCACATGCACGAAGATGTGGCGATGCGGTGTTCCCATTGGCTGTAGCTTGAGCGCTATGGTGATGCCAGACTATGCGCGCAGTTGTGCCAATTTTTGCGATTTTGCTGTAAAGTCATTTTGTCGATACTCTCAGCGCGGAACTCCATACCAAGCATTTAAACCGTTGTGGCTTTCAGCGCTTACGCTGCAATATAAAAGTTATAGCCGGATAAAGCATCGAATGTTTAAATAGCTAAAGAGCATTTTGTGGAGTTGTACTCTTAATGCTGCTTTATCGGTCAGGGAATTGTGTCTGCACTTCGGCTAAGGCTGCACTTCATATTCAGAAAAAAAAAATTTTTTTATGTTCGTTGATTTCTTCTTTTGATTTTCTAAAAAAACGCATACGAATACTATTGCGCGGGCTTGGGCATAATGGTTGACGAGGCTTCAGTGAAAAAATCCTTCGACTCGTCACCGATGGATGGACAACGAACGCAAGGGCGCCCACAAGCAAAATGGAAGAAACAAATGCAGAAGGAAAAAATGTGTTTACGTCGTTTCTTATGTTTTCTTACGTGATTTAAAGTTACACGTTTTTTATTTCCTTTTTTAATTTATTTAATGACTAAAGCACTTAATTATGTTTACATTTTTTTTTTTTTCATTTTTTATGTATGAAAATATTTTCGAAACCTAAAATTTTTCTTTAAAAGATTATAATTGCACTTGATTTTATTTATATGTATTTCCTAAATTTATTTAAATTTTTTTTAAGAACTTACAGTGTTATTACAATATTTATGTTTGTATTTTAGGTTTTAAATTTTGGTTTCAGAAATCGTTTAGAAATATCAATAAAATTTTTAATTACACCTGTTTTTTTATTACCTGAGTTAATTGGTTTTTTTTGTTTTCTTAAAATATTTATAAGTTTTTTTTTTGTATTTTACTCTTTAAATTCTGGTTCCAGAATCGTTTAAAAATACCAATGGTACATTTTTTTTTTTTAATTATTGTTTTGAACAAATTTTTTAATGACCTCAAGCTGAAATCGATTATTTTTTTATTTATTTGTAAGGTATTTTACAATCAATTTCTTTTCACAAAAATGACTTTGAAAGCTATATGGGTATACACATGTGAAAACTATTTTATTAAAATAGATTGTTATTATTTGTTAAGAACATTATGGCACTGAAGGTTTTTTTAATTTAACTTTTCCACTAATCAATTTGTCCTTAGCTTTTAACCCTCTTTACTAAAAGGGAGAAATTTAAATATAAATCAAATTTTAAAATATAAATTAAAAATACGAACATTAAAAAACCAAAAAAATATATAAAAATTAAAAAATGTAAAAAGTAAAACTAAATATAAAAAATTAAAAGTTAAAACAATGTGAAATAAAGAAAAAAAGTTAATCCTAAATAAAAAAGATTTGAAAATTAATTAAAAAATAAAATAAAATATGAGCAATGGAAAAAAATTTTAATAAATAAATAACGGAAATGAAAAAATAAACAAGAAATAAAATAGAAAGTTAAATAATATTAAATTAAAAACTAAATAAAAAACAAATAAAAAATTACAAAAAATAAATAAAAATAAGAATAAAAAATAAAAATAAATTAAGAAAAATAAATAAAATAACAAAAATAAAAATCAATAAATTAAAAATAAAGGTAAGCAAAGAAACCATACAAAAACTTAAAATAGTACTTGAAAACGAATTAAGATAGAAAATTAAAAATTTTGCAAAAACCATTAAATTCTTCTTTCCGCCTCCGCTCGTCTCAGCGCTTTAGCAAGCATTACATTTTATTTCATTTCACACTTTTACATTTGGTAATCGGTAACAAAATAACCAACACGCGTAGCAGCATAAAAGCATCAAGGGGCCGAAGCTAAACGAGACCCTTTTAGATCTGTGCATACATTCGCCGCGCATACACAATCGCAATCACCTCGGTTTCACCAACTCTCGCCAACCACGAGACGCCCTCGCTCCACTTATGATTATTTGTGCTTTGGTCCATATGTACACTGTTGTTGTTGCTGTTGTGTTTAGGATTTAAATTTGTTATATTTTGGATTAGTTGGTTGCTTTGCTTTGGCTATTGAAGTTTTTTCTTTCATAAAGTTTTTTTTTTGTTGTTTTTTTACTATTTCACTGCTTGTGCCGTTCAATCCGTTCGCTTTGCAGCACTTACCTCAACAGAACAGCAACCATTTAGCGTCCCACACAACGCAAGAAAACAAATCGAAATTCAAAGTTGCCAAATTTAGCAACTTGCCACCGAGTGAGTGAGTTTTCCAGCACGCCGTGGCCGCCGAAGTCAGGTGCGTTGTTGTTACTATGTACGTATACTGCTGTGCGTTTTTTTTATGTTTTAATGGCTGATTTAAATCTTTGGGCAACTTGGTTTTGTTAGCTGATTGTTGGTTGTTTGTCTAGTGCAGTCGCCGTTGGCCGCGGCTGCTGTTTCGCCTACTGCTGCTGCAATCATGCGTAGGTGGTCAATGGCCAGCTGCTATGCCATCATCAGCTCTAAAGCGCTGGCTGCTGAAGTAAACGCGCACTTCGCGGCGGTTTTGCTAAAGTAGTTGATAGATATTGTAATTAGTTTGGAATCTCAATTGATTTTATGCAAAAGGAAAATATCTTTTAACCACATTTGGTAGTTTGGGGAGAGGAGCGTACAGTCCGCACAATGGCGTTGTGGTGGCAACACCTCGAATGCCAGCAGCAATTTCTCTTCTTGTGCATACCTATTTAAAGTCAGTGACATAACCGTTGATTTTATTTGCTTTATTTTTAGATTTGATAATTAAATTTGATTGGCTTCTTTGTTTGGTTTTCGCTTTAGTTTTTTATTCCCAGTCAGATTTGCTTTATTTTATTTTATTTATTTTGCTTTTATTTATTTTTTGATTTGTTTTTGATTAATTGTTATTGTTGTTTTCAATAAATATAAATTAATTTTTTTTAAAAATATGTTTTTATTTATTAAATTATACTTTTTTAATTAATTATTTTTTTTACATAAATTATATTTTTTTCTCTGAATTGCTTTTTCAATAAATTATATATTTTTTCAATAAGTTAAATTGTTTCAATAAATCATATTTTTTTTCAATTATATTTTTTTCAATAAATATATTTGCTTTTAATTAATATACATATTTGTTTTCAATAAATTGTATTATTTAAAAAAATATATTTTTTCGAAATTTCATTATGCTATTTTTCAATAAAATATCGCGTCAAGGACGTTAGCAACATTTTTTATAAAATTTTATTTTTGAAGCAGAAATGTTCCTAGTGCATCTAGATGCATTTCTGCATTAAACATAAAATTTTGAAAAAGATGTCCCTTGCGTCTTTTTGACGGTTAGGGCTGGTTATATGTATTGGTTTTCAATAAATTATATTTTTTTTTCAATGAATAATATTTTTCAATAAATGATAGATTTTTAATAATTAAATTTTTTCAGCGAATTAATTTTTTTTTCAATAAAGTACATAAATTTGTTTATTAAAGTATATTTTTTCAATAAATTATATTTATTTTCTTCTTCTTCTTATTTGGCGCTGTAATCGCCTAAGCGATTTTGGCCGAGTCCAAAACAGCACGCCAGTCATTTCTCTTCTGTGCTAACTGACGCCAATTGAAAATGCCAAGTGAAGCCAAGTCCTTCTCCACCTGGTCTTTCCAACGCAGAGGAGGCCTTCCTCTTCCTCTGTTACCAGCATCGCGGCCCGCGTTGAATATTTTCAGAGCAGGAGCGTTTCTGTCCATCCGAACGACATGGCCAAGCCAGCGGAGCCGCTGAATTTTAATTCGCTGCACTATGTCTATATCGTTGTAAAGCTCATACAGCTCATCGTTAAATCGTCTGCGATATTCGCCATCACCAACGCGTAAAGGTCCGTAAATCTTTCGCAGAATCTTTCTCTCGAAAACTCCAAGAGCCGCCTCATCAGATGCTTTCATTGTCCATGCTTCCGCGCCATACACCAGCACAGGCATGATGAGTGACTTATAGAGTGTGATCTTTGTACGACGAGAGAGGACTTTACTTCTCAATTGCCTACTCAGCCCAAAGTAGCACTTGTTGGCAAGAGTGATTCTCCGTTGGATTTCAAGGCTGACATTATTATTGGTGTTAATGCTGGTTCCCAAATAAACGAAGTCGTCTACTTTTTCAAACTTGTAACTGTCAACAGTGACGTGGGTGCCAAGACGCGTATGCTCTGACTGTTTGTGTGCTGACAGGAGATACTTCGTTTTGTCCTCGTTCACCACCAGACCCATTCGCTTTGCTTCTCTATCCAATCCCGAGAAGGCAGAACAGACGTAGCCCTTGTTTTTACCGATAATATCGATGTCGTCGGCATACGCCAGCAATTGTACGCTCTTATAAAGTATTGTGCCTGAGCGGTTCAGTTCTGCGGCTCTTATTATCTTCTCCAACATAAGATTAAAGAAATCACACGAAAGGGAGTCCCCTTGTCTGAAACCTCGTTTGGTATCAAACGGCTCGGAGAGGTCCTTCCCTATTCTGACGGAGCTGGTGGTATTGCTCAACGTCATTTTACACAGCCGTATTAGTTTCGCGGGGATACCAAATTCAGACATCGCGGCATAAAGGCAACTTCTCTTCGTGCTGTCGAAAGCGGCTTTGAAATCGACAAATAGATGGTGTGTGTCGATCCTATTCTCGCGGGTCTTTTCCAAGATTTGGCGTATTGTGAATACCTGATCTATGGTGGATTTTCCAGGCCTAAAGCCACACTGATAAGGTCCAATCAGCTCGTTGACGGTGGGCTTCAGTCTTTCGCACAATACGCTCGATAAGACCTTGTAACCTATGCTTAGAAGGCTAATTCCGCGGTAGTTGGCGCGTATGGCGGGGTCGCCTTTCTTGGGCAGAGCACACTTAAATTCCAGTCGTCGGGCATGCGTTCATCTGACCATATTCTGCATACGAGCTGATGCATGCACCTCATCAGCTCCTCGCCGCCGTACTTGAATAGCTCGGCTGGCAGGCCGTCAGCTCCAGCAGCTTTGTTGTTTTTCAGCCGCGTAATCGCTATTCGTACCTCGTCATAGTCAGGCGGTGGGACAGCTACTTCATCATCATCGACTGGGGACTCGGGTTCGTCTTCCTCACTACTTTCAGCGCTGCTACCATTCAGTAGGTTATAAAAGTGTTCCCTCCACAATTTAAGTATATTCTGGACATATATATATATTTTAATAAATTATATTTTCTTATAAATTTATGTTTTTTTAAATTACGTTTCTTCCGTTTTTTTTTCAATAAATTATATATTTTCCAAAAATTGTTTTTATTCAATAAATTATATTTTTCATTAAATATTATTGTTCCATAAATAATTTCACTCATTTTTTTAATTTTAAATTTATTAATTTATAAATTTTTTTATTTTTTTTTTAATTATTAATTTTTGTCTTTATATTCCATATTTTTTATAGCACACTTCTGTTTTCTTATAGTGAGATGTCTTTTTCGTTTTTAATAAAAATTATTTTTTGCTCATTTAAAATTCCCATTCACTTCGCTTACCATTTATTTATAATTTGCTGCTGTTGCGTCAATAAGTTTTTGTTTTTGTTGCAGCCGATTGGCTGCACTTATTTTTCGATGCATTTTTTTTATTGCTACTCTATCGCATTTTTTTGCTATTTACTTGTTTGTGCTTGCGAATTCTTTTTTGTTGTTATTTCACTTTTATAGCTCCATTTTCTTGCTCCTCTACTGCTGCACCGCTGTCACATGTAAACATATTTATTTATTTTAGCTTTAGTTAACTGTCACCGTCGTAGAGTAAATATGCTATCACCGCGCAACGCCTCTGTATAAATAAATTCTGTAAATGAATGACCTTTTCGTTGTATTTTAGTTCCCATTTAATTGCTGATAAGAATAATTTTAATAGTAGTATTGCGAATACATACATAGCGCTGCTAGATGTTGTTGTTTGTTGATTTCCTTTTTGCACTCGGAGAAAAAAGTGTTGGAAGATAAGCATTTGTGTTTCTTCGTTTTCTAGCTTTCATTCAAAGTTAGCTTAAGATATTCATTCCTAGTCATTTATCCAATATATCAGTATTGCTTGAATGGAAAAAAGAATACAAGAATTCTTTTATTAGAAAAATAACAAAAATAAATCAGTTAATTGTCAAAGCTAATATGTAAGTCGGCATTTTTTCGCTATGACAATTTTGATGCAGTTCGGTACGTTTAAAGGAGCTCTGTTGAACGGCATCAAATTTTCCAAATCGCAAAAATGCTGACATCTTCCCTTTGGTAATTACCCGACCTAAATTCAGATTTTTTATGACGAAACCATTTTTAAAATGAGCTGTTTTTACAATTTTCTTGCTCGAAAAAATTTGTGCAGTTTATTTTTTAAAAGAATTATAATTTTTTTATAACTTAGTAATTTTTTATTTACCAAAAGCGCATCGAAAAAATTTAAAATACTTATACATGTTATTGTTTTTAAACATAATTAATGCAGACATTTTTTTTTAATTATTTAACGGCCTTTTAAGGTTATTTTTTGAATAATTTCTTTTTAATTTTTTGAAACACTTTTTTTTTTGTTTTTCATCCTTTTGGTTGATTTTTTTTTTATTTGGATGTATTATTTTTGATTAATTGGATGATTTTTTTTTATATCCTTACGATTTTTTGAAATACCTATATATTTTTTATACATTTTTTATGAATTACTTATGATTTTTATATATATATATTTTTTGTAAGTTTTAATGGTTTTATTTTTTCTTTTTTTTCTTTTTTGTCTATTTCCTTTATATTTTTTTGTGATTATACTTTTTATGATTTTTTACTTTTATAGTATTTTTTTTATTGTATTTTATTTGCTTTAATATTTTTCATAATTTTTTATACTTTTTAATGCATTTTTTGTTTTTATCTATTTTTTTAGTTTTTGTGATTATTTATGATTTTTTTATTTTTGCTTTAATATGTTGCAATGATTTTTTTACTTACTTTTGCTACGTTAATTTTTTTAATATTATTATTTAATTTAATATTTTTCTTTTTATTATTTATGTATTTTTTTTAATTTTTATATTTTTATGCCTTATTTTTAATTTTTTATATTTTTTAATATTTGAATGAAATGTTTTCTCTATTTTAATTAAAATTTTTTTTAAATATTTGAATGATTTTTTTTGCTTTTTAATGAAATTTTTTACGTTTGAAATACTTACTTCTTATTAGGGTGGCTTCAGGCGTGTTCAACTAAATTGCTAAAGAAATTAAACTCTTCGAGAGGCATTAAACGAATTTTCGTTGGTTGATCTATTTTTGAGATCTATTTGATTCTATCTGAGATTTATCTCAGCTCGACCTAGATTTTTAACTTCAAAACCTGGGGATATGAATATTTTGCTACTTACTACAATATACTTACTCAGATCCTTAGTTTAAATTTATTACCAGATATAATTCTTATTAAAACTTCACACACAGAAAAATGCAATTTTGAGCTGAAGGGGGTTGTTTATTACATCAAAATCCAAAACTTTCTGAGACCGATCACTATCGATCACTTTGCTGATATGTATATAGGCTGCCTAATTGAATGAGCATAAATTGAATGAAAATCTTTATAAAATGCTAAAGTATTTTGAAGCTGGAAATTGCGAAGGCGCGAAGGTGACCACGCCTCCCATCATACTGGAGTAAGCTATCAACTTTCAGTACACCTGGAAAAAACCACTCCCCACTTACATCATATAATACTCTTTCTCCTAAGCTCCTTGGTATTTTGCAGGACGTTTAAAATGAACAAATTCAAATAGCTTTTTACAACTTTTTTCTATTAACTTCTCAGCAAAACAACCTGCATGACTAAGCTGTTTTCCCTCCGCCGCCTATTCGCATGCATCATGCGCTTTTAAAGCAATTAATAATTTTGATTGTCATGTTTTCAATATTAATTCACTCAGTTACAGTTTATTGCACTGTGCTTCCTGCTCTTCATACTCGAGTCATGAATTCAATTTGTACATTAATGACTGTCAACATTCCCGCTGATGAATCGAGGTGACGTCTCGCATACATATTTTTATGCATCATAGTTCATAAGAGCATCACAACACTTTTGCTACTAAAATAGGCAATAAAATGATTGTCTCTGGCGTTTACGTTTCGGTTAAATGTCATTGTCAGCTAGGCGGTTCTATGGGATGAATGTACCACCCATTTTTTTTTTTTTTAAGTACCCAAGGTGAATAAGTATGACTAAATGCGAGAGGCCAATACACTTCCACATATGAAATATGGGGTTTTAAAATAAAAATAATTTGCAAATGTTTTTGCATATGAATTTTCAGCTCTTTTTTCAAATGTTCTGCGCTTTTATAAACATATTGTAGCAATTTTTCTAAGGCCGTAAACAAAAGAAACGTGTAAACACTCGCAAGATGGAAAATTGATTTTTATTTTTTTTTGTCTGCGTCTAAGTGATGAGCTTGATTGGCGGTTAGTGATGGTAGACTGCTGTGAATGACCGCCAAAGAAGCATTTTTTGAGGCTTCTTAGGTCATTTCCATTATCATACTTGGTTAAAGAATTATGCGCCGCACGGCTTGACTTCTGTTTGTATAAAGGGTGAGAGATTTTTTTTTCGCATTCCATTCCTTTTCATTAACAAAATTAAATATTCATCAAAAAGCCGTGGAGACCTGGAGTAACAGTTCTTGGCTTAACAGTTTTTAGAGCCTATGCTCCCGAGCGCTAGCGACGAGCTTTTTGAGCTTTCAACGTCTGCGCAAAATCGAATTATCTATGTGGACTCGCAACAGAGTAAAAACTCTCTCTGATCACTACTGGAGAATGCCACTAAAGAATAAATCCACAAAGAGAGGTTCTCCTCTGAGCCCGTCCATACCAGATTTGATTAAAAGCTTTAAAGGGTATTTCCCGCGGGATATATTTTTGGTCGTGATTGAAGTAAGGTAATCTACTTTTATTTTATAGCAAAGTTGACCGCTTCACATAATCGCTTAACAAGATTTTTTTTTAAGCTTTCTATCGTTTTATATTAAAAAATATCGCAAACAAATGTGGACCTCGACAAAGTTTTTTAAAGCTTTCAGTACAAGCTGACTTTGGTCGTCAGTTTTTTACGAGTATGGTAATGACCGGATATTCATTCATATGACATCTTTAGAGCTTCTTAAAGCGTTTATTTTCAGTTCAGATAGGGCGTTTTTGAAATAAATTCTGAGATCGGGATTTCTTCGATCAAATTCTAAGTAGGGCGCTTACGAACCAGCTGCCGAGATGGGTGGAACTTCCACTCCGCCGTGGATTTTACGAGAACATTTATAGACCAGCCACGATCGAAAAGAGCTTTTACTCTGTGTGCCTCCACATAAAAACTTTAGAAAGCTTTTAAAAGCTACTGGCGCACATAGGTACGTTTTGGTCGTGACTGCTGTAGACGGTTTAAGAGTAGATAGATAAATAGATAGGTAGATATTATTGCACCGCGATCTAGTGTTCCATCTACTCTTCACAGTACTAATTCTAAACCTAAATCCCTGATGAAGTTCAAAAGCAATTTTGGAGATAGGGATTGAATGTGCTTAAGCTGTGGCCACATTGAGCCTAAACTTCTCTCACGTCTTGACAAATGTCATATGACCATATCCCCAGTTGCCCTCTTAGCCTGCAGTGTCCTGTGAGGATACCTGTTATTATTCTAAGCTTCTCGTTTTGTTATACTCTCCCAGTAAACTCTTTGCCTGACGCATTCCTGATGAACTATGCCACTTTAAAACCCTCTCCCTCCTAAGTATTGCGACCCACTCCTAGGAAGGCCAACTAGAGTGATGGCTGCTGCCTCTCTTGCGCGACAATCAGGCGCCTCGTTGCCTTCCACTCCCTTGTGGCCAGGTACCCACGCTAATTTGCAGTTATTGTGTCTACCAAGGGTGTTAAGCTTTTCAATGCACTCAAGCACCAATGACCTTACCTTTTCCAAATCCCTCTCTCGCAATTTTAAGCAGAGTAAAAGCTCTTTCTGCTGAATACTGGATAACTAAGAAGAGAAAATAAATCATTTAAAATCGCTTAAATTAGCTAAACATTCATCATAAAATAATTTGCGTCTGCCGTTTTTAGGATTTATGAGCTTTTTTTTTGTGCCTTTCGAAACGTTTGCCTCAAATATCGGTAAAAATTCTTTTGCGCAGTGCATGCTTTTATTTTTTCAGTCATTTGCCTATGAGTTTCCATGTATATACATACATATATACAGTTTATTTTGTACTTTAATCGCTTTTGCAAAAATAACATGAGCCTTAATTACCGCAAAATATGGCGCATTTGCTGATTTTGCGACAAGCTAATAAAATACTCAATAATGCTCTCAGCCCACCGCAGCCTAGGCAAAGAAAGAAAAATTATCAGTACGCTCTTAGAATGCCTTTTTTTACTTTTAAGCAGCGCCACAGTATAGCGCCAGCCACTTACGGGTTCACGTGGAATCGTTTACGAGGTTTTTAATTTTTAATTTTTGCTGCTGACGTCCACTTCACCAGCTAGGTTCAATGTCGCCTTCTGGCTGAGCTCCCTGCGTTGAATGCAAATTTACAATTTTTTAATTTTCTAAATTTGCTTGTTGTCTGTCCAAAGTTTGCATGGTGGTTGTGTGGTGTCGTGTTGGTTGTGTTGTGGCGCATTTCAAAACCGTTGGATGATTTCATTTCCAATTTTCATTCATCCGGCATCATTTGCAACACATAGAAAACAATAGAAAAAAATTGTTTAGGCGCTTAGCCAACGCTAGCTTCCTACGCCTCCTTCGACCCTCTTTAATCGTCTTACTTGCGCTCGTCAGCATTGGTGCTAAAAACATTTTCGCTTGGTAATGATGCAATCGGCGGCAGTGTGCAACGTAAAGTCGAACACCAGGCGTACTGGCTGTCAACGGTTTTGGCTTTATTCGCTGTTAGTTTTTGGCTGTGGGCTTGTTGCCTTCCCCTTTTCTTCGATGTCGGCATTACCAGTTGGCTGCAATGCATTTGTGCGCAATCGCCAAGCGGTCAATGACTTGGAGAGTAGCTCTGTGCAATTAATGGTTGAGACCGTTACAAATCAGTGGAAAACAGAGGACAAAATTGTCAATTTGGGCGTCGCAAGCTGCTTTTTAGAGTAAATAAATTATAGTAAGCTGCTTAGAAATATTTATGTGACAAAAATTACATTTTATACGAAAATTTCCATTTTTATGGCAATACAAAAACACAAATTTTAAAGCAAGACATAAATTGAATAGTTGCGCGAATTTCATAGCGCAAGCTGCAATTATATAAATACATAAGGCGAATTTTGTAGCCAAATTAAAAATATTGAGCAAAATATATAATTTTCACAAAAATATATGTACTATACATACATATGTATGTATGAATGTATGTACACTTATATAAAAAATTTAATTTTAGATATAACAAAAAATAAATAAATAAAACATTTTATTTCAACGGTGTTTATAGCGAACTAAAAGTTTCAAACCAAAATGAAAATTTTATAGCAAAATTTAAGTTTCATATCAAAATTAAAATGTTATAGCAAAACTAAAATTGTATATCGAAATTTAAATTTTATAGGAAAATTAAACTTTTTTGTAGCACAATTAAAAGTTAATGGCGAAATAGAAAATTCAAATTTTATGTCAAAATAACATTTAATAACAAAATTAAATTTTTAAAGCAAGTTCAAATCTTATAACGAATTAAAAAATTATAGTCAGTCTCTAATTTGATAGAAAAAAAAAATTTGTATAGCAAATAAAAATTTTTATAGCAATCCAAAATGTTTATAGCAAACAAAAATTTTTATAGCAAACAAAAATTTTATTGCAAACAAAAATTGCGTGGGAAACAAACATTTCATAGCAAACCAAAAATGTAAAGCAAATTCAAATTTTATAGGAACCAAAAAGTTGATGCCAAACAAAAATTTGATGACAAACAAAAATTGTATAATAAACAAAAATGTTATAGTAAACGAAAATTTAGTAGATAAAAAAAAAAACATTTTATAGTAAAACAAAATTTGATAAGTACATATGCACATACATAGAATCAATTTTGGGAAAAAAATAAATTGTGTCACATTATTTCTTCAAACGCTGAAAGAAATTTTTTTGCAAGCATAGATTTTAGAGAAAAGACTAAATTTACTGCTATACATAGTATATTTGCATATTCCATCTAGCAACATTATTAAAAAATTTCGGAGAAATAAAATTTTCATGGCAAAATATGAATTTTATGGCAACATCTTAGGTTAGTAAAATTTGAGTTTTATTGAAAAATATTTTTTTATATAAAATAGTATGGCAAAAGTAGTATTAATGGCAAAGTATTTTATTACACTCAAATTTAATGTAAAGAGATAATTTTTTCGAAAACACTAATTTTTTAATATTTTCATCTTCTATTTACAGAGAGGTTCTAAATGCTTGGCGTGCCAAAGCGCGTTGCAATGTGGTGCCCGCGGAACGTACACAGGAGCTCTTCCATGAGCTGAGTTTTCATCCAAGTGAAAAGCAAAGTGAGTGATTGGAAACTTAAAAAAAAAAAAAACAATTCCTCGCTAAATTTATATTTTTAAGAAAAGGATAGGAAATACCGGTTTTCGAGAGAGAACTAGTCCTGCTATAGAAAAAGCTCGAAACGGTGACGGAGTTTATTTTCGAATTGCACTCAAATATTTCAAAGGCAAAAAAGACATTAATTTCCAAAATTAAATATTTTTCATGTACATAAATGTAAAATTAAAATCTCTAAAAATCTTGAAGTTAAAATTTTTCTTATAATTTATTTTTGCATTTTTAAATGTGTTGAACATTAAAGCGCATTTTAAAATTTAAATCCAAAATTTCAAAACTTTTAATATTTATGTTTCTTACTTAGTTTCTGAATTAATTTTTTTTTTTTACACTAAAACATTACATCAATTTTGTTTTTATTTCTATTCAAATATTGATTCTAAATAACCTGTGGCAAAATAAATTTGAGTGCATTTTTTCTAACTAACTTCACTGAACAAATTTTATTCCGTAAATAACTTTTTCCTAAATTCTCTTTCCAGTTAGCGAAATGCTACAGACAGCCAAATTATTGGCTCGCAAAAGCAGCCGTCAATCGAATGGTCTCACCTTTGGTGAATTTTGTGTGCTAGCAGCTGATCTAAAACGCTTTCGGTGAATTTGCTTAAACGATATTCCCCTAAAAAAAAAACAATTTAAACTCTTTCTTCTTCTATTCAGCGCATCGACATTCTCGCCATCGATCTGTGACAAAGTGAATCTATTAAGCTCTCTACAGCCAGAAAGTAATGACAATAGTCGTGCTGGTGGTGGCCTCTTACCCAACACGGAGGCCAATAACAGCAGCCTGATGTGCACCGCTTCGACATCAACGGGCACCAGCAGCGGCAACGGCACTGAACTACGTAGTACAAAATCCCTAAGTAATGTCGAAGACTGCAAACGTAAATTGTCAAAAGGTGATACATCGGCACCGGTCGAGGTGTTCCTAGGCGGTTCGTGCAACCCCACCACCTGGCGTGCCGATGTAGCGATACCGGCGTTGAAAGAGCTTGGCATTTCCTTCTATAATCCCGTGAGTTGCTTACCTTTAGCATGCAATTCAATGTTTCTAATTGTAATTTTGTTAATTTTAAATTTCTGCTTTCTTTATCTCCATCTTGCAGCAAGTTTCTGATTGGACGCCTGATCTCATCGAGCTGGAACATCGCGCCAAAGAGAAGGCGCGTGTTTTGTTCTTCGTTATGGATTCGGAGACGCGCGCATCTGCTGGTGCCATTGAGGCGGCACATATAGCGGGTCAAAACTGCAAGCAGCTGGTGTTGGTACTACATCCATATAAACGTAATCAATCGATTCTTAATGAGCAAATATCCCAGCAGTAAGTTACATACAAGCAACTCGCATAGACGCATTTTTTAATTGCTTCCATTTTTTCCTGTTACACAGAGAATACATTGACCTCCGGCGCAATCAGCTAATACTGAAGGAATTGGTCACACGTCGTGGCCTGCCAGTTATGGATGATATACCATCGGGTCTGCAGCGCACCAAAGAAATTTTGGCTGGCATTAGAGATCCACCCTCGAATATAGCATCGATTTTAGTGTAAGTTGAATGATGAAGCATAATATAAAAGATTTGTTAATGCAATACTCACTCTCCTCTATCCCACAAGCAGTGTAGTACGCGGCGCATTCGATCGTGTTAACCCAGTGAACGGCATCATTACAGTAGCACAATGTCAACGCGCTCTCTTATATTTAGGTTACGCTCAGAGTCTAGTTAAATTAGACAATTTAAATAAAATAGTAGCAGCTCAACGTGAAACGCTTGAAACGTTAGAAAAACGTAGTACAAAATCGAGTGCTCAGCGAGATATCAGCGGCAGCAGTAGCACCAAGAAGAGCGCATCGTCCTCGTCCACATCATCGTGCAGCTCAGATACGCCGACCGCTTCGGTAAACGAATCGGCTGATGTCGATTTTGATTTATTCTGCGTGATTTCCGCTTATCTCTCGGTGCTGCAGCAGGAGATACAAGAAAGTGGTTGCATTTCGCCCATAAAGGGAACGAACGTACCACCACCGCCCGTCTATCTTACCAATATGCAAGGTAAGCGCTAGCAACGTTCATGTTTGCTATGATAAATATAATATATATTCCATTTTTCCCCTTCCACACAGGTGATGAGAGCAATTTTGCCATCAGCTATTTCACTAGCAAGAACATCTCACGCACCTCAAGTCAAACTAGCGTACCCGGCAACGATGAACGTCACAGCAGCAGCGATTTGTTGAGTCGCAATCGCGATAGCGGCACTTCCTCGCCACAACCATTGGATCAGCCACTGAAATCTCGCTCGGCCGCTCACTTAGGTAAAGCAAAAACAAAAATACTTGTTAACATCGAATCTATAGAAACAACCGAAATAACAACAACCATCCAAACCGCTCATACACCACCGACACCGCCTAATACTTCTACTACTACCGCTACAGCTTATCCGGGTTTGAGCACAAACACAACAACAGTACAACCGCTTACGCAAATCAACGCCAATGCCGCCGCCCAAATGCACTCAGCACTCGCGGGCATGGATGGCAGCAACGTCACAGCTGACGCTGAGGAGAGTGATTCGAATGACTCCGTGTTCTCATCGAGCAGCTCCATTAATTCGGTAAATTGTAATTATGGCGGCGGTGAAACGCTCACTTTCTCTGGGGTGGACTTTCGTGACGTTTACCTTGGTGGTAGTTGTTTTTTGCGCACCAAATGGCGTCAAGATATCGCTATGCCGTACCTGAAGAGCAAATGCATCACTTTCCACTTGCCATCGCTGCACGAGAGCTTGCAACCATCGCAACTGGACTTGCCCGACAAAGTATTTGAGGATGCGCGTCAGCTGGGCGCACAGGAGACATCACTGAAACGCACACGCCGAAAATATCGCGGCGCAGCGCTGGAGGAAGAGGAGGAAGAAGAGTTGACTGTATCAGAAGAAACATACAGTTGGGCGTTGCCGCCGATGCGGCCATATCTTTTCAACCCCTCGCTGTTAGATGCCAGCCGGGTGTTGCTGTTCGTCATCACCAATGAGACACGCTCGCTGGCGCCAATGACGTTGGCGGCGCATTGCATTGGACTGATGTACAATGTGGTTTTAGCTGTGCAAATGCTGCCCGAGGACTGTGTGATAAACAATGAAAAGGTGAGTGTGTGTGGAGAGGAGGAAGAAATGAATGTTGAAATCTTTTTTGAAGTGTTTAAATAATTTCCTTTTTGCGCTTTCTTCTTACAGCTCACGCCGGCTGCTATCAAAGATTATAATCGCGGTCGGTCGTATCTAATTGATTTGGCCAAACGCCAAGGTGTGCCTGTGTTCAACGATTTGAAGGCAGCTTTGGAATGTACTGTGGATAAGATAAAAGCGTGTAACTCCAGAGGCAGTCGTTATGATTGAATGAGCTCTCATATGCATATGCAGTTGAATCACCTGTAAGCCTTAAAAAGTAATCTGTCTACAATTGAACTTTGACAGCATTTAGGGTGAGACGCTCCAAATACATACATAACTATACATACAAACATAAATACGACGAGTACCTACTACATGGGCAGCAGATTTTAGCAGAATTTTTTCAACAACATATACTATATTTAGAATACATACTATCGGATCCGCGTAAATTCAACTTTTACTTAACTACATTTGTAATAGTTTAGTGTTTTTATGTTTAAAATTATGAAGCTTCAATTCTATGCATCATAGTTACATAGCGAATAAGTGAAGATTTAACCCATATACGTGCATAATGTACGCGACAGATGCCTTAACCGTGCGCCAAGCTACTAATTCGTACTATGTAAGTCCTTGTTTAATTTAATTTAATCACTATCTAATATAAAAAAATAGTACATACGATTATCGTCCTGTAGTGCATATATCGGCAATGTAAACACAAACAAAAAGCTAAATCAATTTTAAACTTACGACAATTTTACATACAAATAGCATATAACATAATAATAACAATAAATCTAAATCTATACATAAAATTAATAATAATATTAACCACCTAATGCCTAAAAAAAAAAAAAATAAATAAATATATACATAAATATACCTACCTTAAATATACAATTACCTACTATACATACTAGCTTAGTAATCGTAAGCGTGATGATGTTTGCTAATAATAAAAAATGTAAGTGTATGAGTTAACACAGAAAATAATACTCATTTCAATTAAAAAAAATCGATGATAATACTCGAAAGTTTTCGCAGCTAGTTAGCGTTTCAATATATTTTTTGTGCTCTCTGGCGCCGTTGGCTAGACAGCGAAGGCACAGTGATCTAATAAATATCACCTTAAATATGATATATTACTGAGAATTCACACAAAATTACACACTTCTAAAATGAGACGGTTTTAAGCATAGAAAATCAACCAAAATATTGTTGAGTTTCAGTAAGATTATAAATTGGTTTCTGAACACTGGGCCGTATGAATAAAAACTAAGCAATTGCTTTTTCTTACAATTTGAAACCTTTTACTTAAATTTATTTGAACAAATGAAGTTATTATTCATACGGCCCAATGACACACCCGTAACCCATAGGCAACCCTTTGCTAGAAATCCGCGAGTGAATTTTGTCCACCTAGCTTGTTCTACCCGACTCACTGTTAGTCGCGGGCGCAGATTCTCGTTGTATGAAGTGGTGAAGTGAAAAGATTTTTCATCACTTGGCATAAAACTTCAAATATTTACATATTATTCTATCTAATGAAGAATAAATTAGTTAAGTATATACAAGTTTTAATTTTTGAAAGAGTTATGGATGGACGCAGGAAATATTGAGCATTTTGTTCGAAGTCGTTGTTTTTATTTCGCTATAATTTCCTAGATTTTCACCGGAGTTTTTTTAATCAAAAGCCTTTTTAATAACAAGTAAATTTTAAGCAAAAAACAATGCCGACTTCAGTTCTCATCTACGAATTTAAGATTATCTTTAATTTCTTTATGATCCTATGTTCGGATGTAAACCAAATTAATATGGGACCAATTGTGCGGTAACACCTTTCCGTTAAAAAAAAAAAATGAATTATAGAAATCGGTTAACGTGGTCCAAAGTTATGCGGTAGATACAAGAAAAAAAATACAAAAAATATTCCGACAAACTGACAACCTTCTCGTTTTTGTGAAGTCGATTAAAAAATAAAACAAAACGGATTAAAACAAAAAATTTTAACTGAGTGCGACGCTATTCTATTCATTTTATCACTTCATGTAACGAGAATTATCATCCCGTAAGATAAGGAAATATCTCATGAGACTTTGGAAATTGCGTTTTTAAACGGTGTTCACATGATGCAATTTTAGAGGCGATTAGTTGAATCAAAAGTTGGCTGCCCCCCCCCCCCCCCCAACTTTATTGGAAGCGATTAGTTGAAATGCCGTTCACACCAGGCGATTGTTGCTTTCAACTAAAAGTTGCCTGCAAAATCGCCTCATATAAACACCGTATAACATACAACTACGGTCAAAGATTTTGCACCCAAATTAAAAATAGTGTTCGCAATTTATGTTTATGTATTTATTTTTAATTTTTGTCTAATAAAGTGCAAGTTTCAAAGAGCTAAATATTACCATTGATTTTGAGAATTTTTTTTTTTTGTCAAGGGTGTTGCGAATTTTCTTCCATAAAACGCATAAACAAAATCTATTTTTATATGGAAAGAAATGCGCAACAAAACAAAAAACTTGCAAAGTAGGGGAAATTGAGAGAGCAAAGTGACATTTCATTTTGAGGGGAAGCTGCTAGTTTCTGCTGGAAAAATTTTTGCCCGCAGCAATTTGCTAACAGGAAAACAGCTGATCAAAAAGAACCAAGTGCAGAAATCATGTATATACCTATGTAAACCTCTAGGTAACTTTAACACAATCTCGAAGGCGTAAGTAACGCCCATTGTTTATGTCAAAAGTAAAAAGGTTTTAATACTTTTGGTAACATTTTCTTCAAGTGTGTTACAACAGTGCGCGTATGTAAATTCGGCTATTTGCGCGGCTATTAAGTAAATTTGTGTCTGTGTTCATAACTTCGATTTTGATACACTTTTTTCGTTCCACATAAATCGATTAATGCACTGTTTACCTAAAACCATAAACAGACGGCAGCGTTGATCCGGATCAACTCGGGAACAAACTGCAGTTGATCCGGATTAAGTCCGAGTTAATCTGTATCAACACTGCCGTCTGTTTAACGACCACTGCCAATTAAGTTGTTCGATCTGCTATTAATTTCGGGAATTACCCCATGTACGCGGCACACTCCTAATTCGATTTGACAGTTATCGTTGCTTTTCCATTATTTTTTCTATCTCTCTTTGCTTTGATTTGTCTTTGTCTGGCTTTGACAGCTGAGTTCGACAAATTCCCCATAACATTTTGGGCCGGCAACGAAATATTTCGCTCCCAATAATTTATATGGCGAATTAAGTAAATCGGTCCATCACTGGTTAGCCAATTTTGAGTGAGTGAGCGCATTATGACTGATAATGTTGGAAATGTATTAGAAAATTGTATACAGGGTGTCCGAGAACTCAACGTCAAGCCGATACGGGGTGACAGGATTGATTGCAACCATCATGAGAAAAATCAGAAAAAAAAATCTATCCCATGCAGTTTGAAAATTATGGGCATTTAAAAAAAACCCAGAATTTTGGTCAAACTGTAACCATTTTTCGGTTATTGTGGTTAATTTTTATTATTTTTGTTAATTAAAACTTTGGAACCTTAACCCTAAATAACATTTCTAGAACCTAAGTCAAAAATAATGACACAATTGCCCCAAGTTTTCTAGAATTAAGACTATTTGTTAAACTACGAATTTAAATTTTTTATAATTTGTCGACTTTGAAAGGCCCTCCTTTAAAAAAAATGTACTAAAGTGCCTTGGCAAGTGCCAACAAAAGTTCGCGCATTTAATCAGGATTGTAAAATGGTACTTGTTAGTTTCATACTAAAAAAAAAACGAGTAAAAAAATAAAAACCTCAAGTAACCCGATTTTTGCTAACCCATTTTACTCAGTTCAAATGTTTTTTATTCGCACAAGCTCTTGGTAGGTTCTTAATTTTACGGCAAAATGATGAAAGAGATGGATAGTGGACATGTTTGCCATGAGCGAGCGAGACAGATAGTGACGCCACTTTTACCAAAGTCAACAAAAATAAGTAAAATTAATAAAATAATGAAAAATCTTGACCTAGTTTAGTTTAGGTTTATTGGAATAAAAGTCAGATAGGGAAATAACATTTCTTATTACAATAAATGTTCAAATTGCTACACGCCCTACATCTTCTTAAAAAAGATCTACCTATTAGCCGGGCATATCCTCGAGATTGGATGTCCTCAGCAGCTTGAGAAATTTGTTCACGCAGCTCGGCTACGCTCTCAATATGCTTTGAATAAATTTTTCTTTGAAAACGCCCTAATAAAAAAAAAACAGGGGATTTAAATCTGGGGGAACGGGCTGGCCACGAGATAGTGCCTGAACGGCCAGTCCACCTTCCCGGATATTCTTGGCCAAGGAAATCTCTTACTTGCACTGTGTAATGCGCTGGGCAGCCATCTTGTTGATACCACATGTGGCGACGATCTGTTAGTGGTATGTCCTCTAACAAAGTTGGTAAATTTTCTCGTAAAGAATGTAGGTAATTCGTGTCATTCAAGTTCTCAGGCAGGTCTAAAGACCCAATAATTTTGTAGATTCATCTGACCAGAGAATTTTTTGGATGAATTGGGGATTTTCATTATGCCTCTGTAGCATTGTTCTACAAAATGAAATCCTTTCAGGATAATCTCGAGGAAGAAGACTTTGAACTCGTTGTACGTGAAACGGATGCATTTCGGCTCTTTGTAAAATACGATGTGCTGTGCTTTTGGGTATTCCCGTTCTTTCTTCAATTCCACGAACGGCAATACTTGGGTCATCTGCGACCTCTTGCAGCACTTCTTCCTCGTAAGGAAAGCGAGCTCTACCTCCAGCCCGTATTTGATTCGGGAAATGGCCGCCCTCTGTGAGTGAACGGTGCACATTAACAAACACGCTGTGATCCGGATAGCGCTCTAAATTTGGATATCTTTCCCGATAAAGTCTAGCGGCGGCACTTGCGTTGCATCTGCATTCTCCATAAATGAGTTGCATGTTCGCATATTCTTGTGAAGTGTAGCGCGTAGGCATGGTAGATAACAAGGATGCCGACACAACAGTCCAATTCCAAAAGAGAGAAGCCAAAGTTGCCGATATGTAATCAACAAGTACAATTCACAAAAATCCAAGTCCAAAAAGCCAAAGTTGTCAGTACTAAATAAACACAAGCGAATACGGAAAGGTGCGCTGTATACGAATGTGCGAAATGTACTAACTGCTGTGGTGGCGTTAAGGCTCCGTTATGCATACTTGGCATGGCTTGAGAGCTGTCACATAAGAAATCTGTTAAATGAGCCTCGCGTGTAATCGGTTATCGAACGCACAGCACTACATACGTAGAAGTCTGTTGGTTTTTGATTTCTACGTAAAAATGGTATAGCAGTGCATGCAATGCCAAGTATGCATAACAGAGCCTTTATAGCTGTCTACTTTGTTGCTAGTTAAATGAGAAAAACTGTTAAGCCCAAAATACAATAACGCAGTGGCAGTGGCAGCGGCAGTTTTTCGAAATCAGCTGTTTTTTAGAAAGTGTGGTGTCCAATGAAGCGACTCACAATACAGCAGTGGCAGCTAGCAGTACTGCTCAGTTTAGCCCAAATTCTAAATTCACTGCCACTGCCTTCATCGCAGCAAACTTCGCATGCTGAATTTGACATAAATGAAACGCAGCCAACATCTGTTGATGTCACTGAAGCCTAAAAGGCATGATTCAACAACTACAGGTTGTAGCAATCGTACAAAAACAACGTTTACCGTTGGTATGAACTCCTTGTGTCATCAACATCTTCTTTATCTATTCATATTCGTGTGTATATGTATACCCTGCATACCAGGATTTCATAGAATTCTGAAAGGTTTCACAATTTTTTTAAGAATTTTCTTTAAGAAATCATACAGATATTTCTTTACTAGTTCTTGTCAACCGCTTCATATGTTTTTCTTTACAGATTTCTAAAAGAATCGTAACAAATTTCCGACACTCTTAAAGATTTCGGGAGCATTTGTTTGCAGGGTATATATATACGTATATGTGTATGTGTACGCGGATATGTAAATAAAGCAAAACAGACGATAATTTGACACAAGCGTGCTCATAAGAAGAAGCATAGCTTCTATCGCTATCACCTGTAATTGATGCGCCTTGCCTAAAAGGCAACAACAAAAATGTAAACAAACAAAAGGGAATGTCAAAAAAAGCAGTCACTGACAACGCCGTATTGTGTTTGCTGCGGCATTGACTGCCAATAGGTTTGTATAGTAACTTCTCCAGTAAAACATTGCAGCCAGAGCGTAAAAGCAAAATAGAGCGTAAAATTGACAAGAAGAGAAAACTAGCAGAAAAAGTTACTGAACGCAAAACTAGTAAAAACTTGCAAGTGAATAGTTGTTGCACCCTTTTGATATTCTGCTGTAAACATTTTACTATTTATAAATCAGTTTTAAGCTCTTTGCTTTTCACACAAGCACTTACACAGTCTAGTACTTCATTAATATTTTGATTTCCACTCATTTTAATTTTGTTTGTGCTAAACCAACTCAACAAATGGCGGCTTTTGACATTTATTCTTCTTCTTCTTCTGCTAGCTAATTTCTGCTAGTCGAAATTTCACTAGCAAGAATTTGCAGCTCTCCCGTGTTGTTGCGCTCTCGATTTGTTGCTCTCCTGCAAGTTTTTTGGGTTATCATACACTTTTCCAGTAAAAATTTGCAGGGTCCAGTACAAATTAGTACTGACAATTGGTTATTATACAAACCTAATATTAGCAGTAACAGCTGATTTTAAAAACTGTCACTGCCACTGCCACTGCGCTATTGTGTTTTGGCCTTTAGTTTTGCAAGAAAATCACCCTCCAAAATGTTACTAGGGAGTCGGTAACGTCGATAACTATGTTTAACCGGAGATAAGTGGTAACCAGACATTGAGTAACCGGCCCTAAGCGCCGGTTGCTCAAAGCCTGATTGACACTAAACGTCGATAACGATGTTAATCGGTGATTAGTGTCAATCAGGCTTTGAGCAACCGGCCCTAAGTATGCAATTTTATACCTTTTTTGTCTATTATTTTCTTCCACACAAAAAAAAATTTGGAGCATACTATGTATGGATGAAAATGCGCTACATATATAAATTAATCACAAAACCGATCAAAATTTGTTTTAGGGCCGGTTTTTCAATAGACTGATAAGAGCCGAATAGCTTTTATTCAACAGATAAAAAAAACTTCCAACGTCTGAAATGAGAAGGCGCATTTTCTGTGTGAACTAATTGCCTTGATCAAAATTTGAGCATAAATGCAGAATAGCTTCGATTCCCAAATTAAAAAAAACGTACGGGGATCGATAGAGAACATTGAGTTGAGTATAACGGTATATTTCTTTTCTTGCGGAAACAAAAACTACAAAAGTTATTAAGGGTCAAAGTTCAAATTAAACTATTTTTTAAATAAAAAATTCTTAAAAAGTAAAATATGGATTTTAAAAGTTTTGACCTCAATCGGTAGGAAATTTAGTTCCCTTTAATTTGATATACATACTTTATATATGCCTTGTTTAGTTTTCACAAAAATCTAATTAATGTACGCAGAAAGGAATTCCGCTTCCCTTCTGCGGCAACACAGATAGGAAAATTCTACTTAGGGAGGATTATATTTATATCAAATTAAAGGGAATCAAATTTCAAATGAGATCAAAATTTTTAAAATCCATGCATTCGTTTTCAAAAAATTTGGATTTAAAGAATTGTTTAATTTGAACTTTGAGTCTTAATAACTATTGTAGCCGTTATTTCCGCAAGAATAGAAATATACCGTTATACTCACCTCAATGATCTCTATCGATCCCCATATGTGTGTTTTAATTTGAGAATCGAAGCTATTCTGCATTTTTTCCAAAATTTTAATTCATTGTCGCGCCAAAATGTCATAGAGCACAGACGTCAAATCGAAATGTCACGCAACACAAATCTTGGAATTTGAGTTAGCTTTTTACGCACGCCGGTCAATTTCGGTTAGTCCCATACAAGATGTATATGCATGAGAAATTTTTGACAGTAAACTGCCGGCGTGCGTGAATATTAGGTTGGCCTGTAAAGCTGAAATTAGTCAAGAACGTAAACCTACCGGTACGTAAACCCGAGTCAGCTGACACCAAAGTCTTACCAAAGCGCCATGTAAATGAAAACTCAACACCGCAGAATTTTTCTGTAGTTGTAGCCCGTAGCGCAGAAATCTGCGGAATTTAGATTTTTCCGTGTCAGCTGATTTCTCCTTCTTTAGATGGTTGCCACTTCGTCAGTTTTGCAGATGGTAAAAAAGTTATAAGTTCCTATTCGAAATATGTTTAAAATATTTGAAATTTACTATTAAATAAGGTTTTTGTTGAAAACTAAGTAGTTTATATTTAGTTACAATCTATTATAGCACGAAAAATTGTGGTTGAAAGGTAAGTTTATGAAAAGGCATTGAAGAGTGGCAACAGTGTAGTAAGCAACACTGAGGGCTCCAGTAATCGACAAAATTCTGCGTATACAGACTGCGTTTAAGTATACGTTCTGCGTTCTCGACTAATTTCAGCTTAAAGCTGCAACTAAATGCAACTCCATTTTTGCATTTAGAATCTAAATTTAAAAGCAACCCTGTGATCTTCCAAAATTTCCACGATTCGAACATGGTTTAATGAGAAGAAGTGGCAACATTGCTTTTTCGAGTATACAGTCGCTAGCTGCGTTTCAGTGATCGCCGATCGAGATTTCATTTATTATTTTACATTATTTGGATAAAGAAAAGTTACGCAAATTAAACATCGATATGATGCTGATAGAAATCTGGATTAATTTGTGATCAACTCCGTTTGTTTTGTTTCCTAATTAAGTGTGGAAATTATAATTGACAGCACCGACAAATGAATATATACACAAACAAATGTTTGGTTATGGTTAAAACAATTCAAGTTTTTGTATTGAATTTTCGGTTTAGAATTTATTTTTTCCTTTTCAGTAGGGATTTTTGGGCATTATCTTTTCCGTGAGAATTTATCATAATAGATACGGATCTGAATAAGCGACTGGAACACGGCTGTTTGTCAAAAGCATACGATTTCGAACTTGCGTAAATGTACATTTGCTAAATGCGATAGCATGAACGCTCTTCGAAAACATATGTTCGAAAGTGCTAAATGTTGCATTTTAAATGCAGCAAAAACGCTGTATAAGACAGATCGTGTCAGCTGACTCGGGTTTACGTATCGGTAGGTTTACGTTCTTGACTAATTTCAGCTTAAGAGTAAGCACCAGTAACTCAGCACAGTGCTGAGTTACCCACCTCTATACCCGTGAACCAAGAATACATTAGCGGCGTAAAAACTCTGGCATATCTGATTCAAATTCCTGGCAGGCATGCTGAGTTAATTTGTATTAGGTAGCACAAATTCAAATACGATTTCTACCCCTGACGGAGCACTTATCCGCATTTACTAGTTGCCAGCTGATTTGATACAAATTTTGAACTCAAAATGGAAAGGAGGGAAAAAATACGAATGGCAGCTGTTTTATTGGCAAAACACAATTTCTTATTTAAAAAGAAACTTCACATTCTTCTATTAAAATTATTAAATAATATGAAAATAATTAATGGATTGGCCAGCATGAACCTTAACTTGCTGTGCCAAGCTGTGATTGTTACACCTCCTGATATCAGAGAAAGGCAGCTGTCGAAATTGGTAAGCATACCTTTCATTTTCATTGTATAATAAATATCCGGTATTCCTTTAAGGAACGCAATGGAACTTTTTGGGAGCGTGATGTGCCTTTAATGGACGAAAGTCGTTTCAAAGAAAATTTTCGAGTCAATAGAAATACGTTTCGAAGAATTTGTGAGAAAGTTAAAGACATTGAAAAGGTGGACAGTAATATGAAGCCATGTATTCCACTTCATAAAAGAGTAGCTGTCTCACTATTCGCTTTGGGATCAGCTGCGGAGTATAGGACTGTTGCAAGTCTCTTCGGTGTGGGACGCAGTACTGTTGGGGAAATTCTTTTGGATTTTTGCCAAGCAGTATGTGAAAATCTTTCTGCTTCCATTAATTCCTATCCTCCTAATCCACAAGAGATAAGAAAAATTGTTGATGGATTCGAACGCCTAGGATTCCCGCAGTGTTTTGGAGCTGTGGATGGCTGCCATATAGAAATTCAACCACCAAAAAAGAGTGCAGTAGACTACCAAAACTGCAAGGGTT